CATCTGTAAGAACTACTTCACAGTCAGGGCGGCTAGGATCTGGAACCAACTTCCAAGGGAAGTGGTGCTGGCTCCTACCCTGGGGGTCTTCAAGAAGCAGCTCGATGCCTACCTGGCTGGGATCATTTGAGCCCAGTTTTCCTCCTGCCCAGGCAGGGGGTTGGACTTGAAGATCTACAAGGTCCCTTCTGACCCTACTTCTATGATAATGGTTTAAAGAGACCAAGAAGTGCAGTGAGACAGGGAGACAAGCATAGGGAAATATGTTACACTGCAGGAATAAGCACCACAGGAAACTGAAAATCCTGAGATAGACCCAAATCAACATAAACTTATGGAGAAATAATCAAGTGTTTTCTTTAGTCTACTGCCTGCTAATGCATACATTACATGGTTAGTTGATAATTTAATGACACAGGAATAGTCATTTCTTCCTTTGGATCAGGGACTCCACTAATCATCTATTCACCCTTCAGATAGGAGAAATTCCATCCACGTCCCATTCAAGGGGCGCCTTGAATCTAAAAAGGTTGAGAACCATGGCGTTAAATTATCATACTGCATCAATCCCACCACATGTGCCTGATAAGGCTCTTGTGAAATGTCTGTATTGACCTGAGTCTTCTCTGAAAAGACTTGTGTTTCACTTGATCAACACAACGTTTGTGTATTGCATCTCCTGGGTAGAAAATACTCCAATAATCAGTGCCTATTCAAAATGGTTTTTCTTTCATTCTTAAATGCAGAGCTACCAGGGGAGACTGTTTCCAAGCAAATCCTAAGAGATCTATCAACTTCAGAGAACATCCACTCAGGGGCTGTTCTCTCCCTACCACCCTCAGGTCAGGTCCAGAGTAAAGCAGGGCCTGCCAGTAAAGGATCCAATCACTTTATACTGTCAAATCTACACCAGCAGTTGATTCAGCCTCCCTGCAACCTTTAAGCAGATGTGTCCCACTTCTCCAGACTCAGGTTTGATGCTGAAGCGTCTACAGCAAGTGACTGACTGCAGTTCAGAAGCGTTCTGTGGCTAGAGATGGGCTGTGGCCTGTGAAGGTACCACAAGGAGGCAGTTGGTCAGTGTCAGGATAGTGCTTGGGGCCTTCCTGAATTAGCAGTTTAAGCCTCACTGAACTGACTTGCCAGAACACTTGTTTGTCTGAACAGAGGTTTATTGTTCCAAAGGCTGACCCCCACCTCCTGGCAGTCTGCTTCACTGGATCTTGCTAAGTAGCTACAGGCACAGCAGGGACTTTTATTGTCCCACTGGACTTTGACTCACCACTCCTAAGTGCTACTGTGACTCTCATCTACAATTTTGATTTACACAGGGCTGCCAATGACAGAACCTTGTCTGTCCCTGGCTCAGAGGGAACAGTTACCACTTACTACATTTGTATCCTGACACACACTTGGATGTTGTAACATCATGATTTTATACCCAAAACGTAGTTTGCGTGCTGTGATGTGTCATTACAATTGATGATCAGCTGCTGATCCTGAGCCCCGCGTACCAAGCATCTCAGAGAACATACCAATGCAGAAAATCTGTTTTCAAAGCTGAACTCCATTTTCATGGATGACAACATTCTATGGGCAGATACAACTGCAATCTCTTCTGATGCAGCCAGCACCAATGTTGGCAAGAACAACTCTGTCTTAAGCAGAGAAAAGTGTCACTTTCTCTAGCTTGCCTTCCAGTCATGCCTTATTGTTGCCACAGTCAAAGCCAGTCCCAAGTCAGTGAAAGACATGCTAGCAAGATATCTTCTACTGCTGATAGACCAAAATTTGGCTATCACCAGTATCAAAAGTAGTGTTATGTAGACAAGTTGTCCCAGAAACCATATAATTGAAACACTTAATCAGACTAATAAGAAGAGATACAGGTTGTAGACATGTTGGTCTGCAGGCAAAAAGAATTCGAACTCTTGGTAGAGGCGATATCTTTTATTAGACCAACTAGATATTTGAAAAAATAATAATAATAACTCTTTATTTACAAGCTTTTAGGCACTTGCACTCTTCTTCAGGCACAGGAGAGTGCAAAGATTGTAAAATTTCTCCTATGCAGAAATGAAAATTCTTATTGCACAGGAGAGCTGAAAGGTGTTGTAAGATCTCCTGGTTGGAAATGTTCATTTTGTGCAAATTAGGCTCAGATAAAAGTTAGAGCAGTCTATTTACCTCAAAGTTGTCTGATGGCAAGCAGGATATTATGCTTCCTTCTGGTTATGATGTAGTAAGATGCAGTTAGTCATGGGGATCACTGTTTGCATGTTTTGATAGTAGTTCTGAAGTTTAGAAGCAAGACAAGTGTGTTGCTTGTTACTTAAAAGGTAGTGAAATGCTGCTGTATTTCCTCTTTTGGAACATGTCCTGAACAATGTATCGCATTTCAAGCAGAAGACGTAAGGTTAGTTTATACACGGAGAAGAGAGCTGGTATCATCTAAGGTAACTCCTGAAGATGTGTTTTGTCTAAGGCAGCGATTGATGCTGCAGATGTAACCCATCTAGACTCAAGAAAACAAACTTCAAGAAGAAAACAGGAAACTTTCCATTAGCATCAAAATGAATACCTCCATATCAGACAACACTGTTCTTCTGTGCTGCAGTTAATAAGTAGCTGAAGAAGCTGCCACTACAGACCAAACTCTACAGAATCAAGGAATACTGCAGACTGAGACAGAAGGAACTGTGAGGGTGAGCCAATTTGTCGTCTCCTACCTTAGGAAGCTTTCACGCCAATCTCCTCAGAAGGAGCACAAAGTCTTGCCCCAGTGTAATGCATTTCAAGTAGATCATTCATTCCTCAAGAAAGCAAATTAGATATATGATAGAGCCAAATGTTTGCTTTAAACAGAGAAGGCTGCCCAAATAACTGTTACCCACACCCAACCAAAAGGATCACAGCTGTGTTGTTTCTGCCATATGAGCAGACCAACAAAGTATATGTGTTTTCAGGGAGACAGGGAAATAAAACTGTTCCATGGACATATGTCCAGCAGGCTGCTGTCTGTAAAACAAACTGTTGTGCCTTGAATAGTTCTCAGTTTACACCAAACACTGAGCTGATACAGATGGCAAAGCAAGTTCCCACAAATATCTCTAGCATTGAGATCAACTGACAGTGGTGGAACAAACCTGCATTTTGGGTCAACCACCTTATAAGGCAGTGACTAGAAATGGCCCCAACTGCTTTCTCTGGCACTAGGAGCACTTATAAGAGGGTGGTGATGCAACCTAAGCAGAACAAGCTTGGGAGACAAAGTGTGCATCTACACATGCATTTGATCTGGGACCATTTTACTTGCAAGTAAATTACTCATGAGTAAATGCTCCTGGGCAGGCATCTACACATGCAGGGACATGGGAACAGATTTGCTGCTTCTAGTAGCAAACTGCTCCTGCTTCCTGTGGCCCTGCAATGGGCCCTGGCTGCCATTATGGGGAGCTCGAGGCTCTGGACACACCTGCCAGCAGCCAGAAGCCATCTTTAAAAGGTAGCCCCACTCCCTGCTCCTTGGCCAGCTGCTTTTCTGGCCGGGAGCAGCATGCAGAGGCTGGGGCCAGTATGCGGTGGTTCTCCTGCCACAGCCTGCCTTCCTGCACTATGGCTGCTCCAGCCCCTGCCCCTGGCAGCAACATCCAGTGCCCTGCTGGCCATGGTGCTGGCTCTGCTGGCCCCAGGGGGCCCCCGCCACCGAGGCCCCAGGTGAACTACACACCTGCCAGCGGGAGCCAGGGCACTGAGTGCAAGAGGCACTGGCCGACCACCTTCTCCTGCACTCCCCACTGTAGCCTTCTTGGACAGCCACCCATGGACCCCCCCACCCCACTGCCCTCCCCCAGCACCATGTTCACTGCAGACAGTTCTCAGGAAAACACTTTATTGATCTCACAACAAACAGACCCCTGCTCCACTCTCCCTCCTCAACACCAGAGCCAATCCCTCCTCCCTCCCCAACACCAGAGCCCCTCCACTACCCACCCCACCCACCCACCAACAATAAAACACTCTCTTCCCTGTGCAAACTATATAGAAAGTGGCCTATGTGTATGCCTTCCTGGGAAGGGTGGCTGTAGGGTGGGGGCACCTAGGAGGTAGGGCCTGGGGACAGGTGGCCAGCACCCCAGCTTCTGGCTGTTCCTCCACAGATACACACACTGTGGCAAGCCCGGCGGGTGGGGGGCTCATCCAGAGGCAACAGCAGCTGCTGGTCTGCTGGTGTGGGTAGCTCCCCCTCCAGCAGCCTTTGTCCAGGGCCAGCAGGGCTGGCATGAGTTCCTGGCCCCACTACAGGCAGCTTGGAAGAGAAAGTGTATTTCTAGGGAAGGAAGAGAGATAGCCTGACAGAGGACAGAGAGTAGGGAAGGGGCAGGGAATTATTTTGGCTGGAGGACTGCTTAACAGCTCTTGGTGAGCTGTTGAGGGCTGCAAGGGTATCCCTGCCCCCTGATTGCCATCTTGGGACTGGAAATCCTATCCCTAACCAGAAGTCCCTCCCCTTGCCCCTGGAAGTACTCCTTTGAGG